GGGGGGGGGGGAGACTACTGCTTCGTATTATGGAGGAAGAAACATGTAATCGGTTCTAGCTAGACTACTGCATTATTTTCTAGCTTCGGAGGAGAAGAAGCACAGTAGGCACCTACTATCCCTCTCTCAGAACAAGAACTTCTAATCCACACTTAGCACGGTCGCATATTCTTGATTCTGGTCTTTTGTTGATAAAAATGGTATAGCTGCTCACTAGAGATAATATATTACTTATGTATATGTTGCATTAAGGCATATTGACGATGACCAGCTCGACACCATGTCTTGAACACCCGCAGCACCGAATTCCATCTCCATCGATATCACCGTTCAGCTCTTCTAGAGTAGTACCCAGTAACTTTATAGGCAAACGGATAGGGTTTGCATTTGGCTGATATCCTGACAGACAGTGTGAGGTGTAAAGAGGTCTTTGACGAAGCAGCGACAGCAAGGATGCATTGAAAAGAGCTCGTGGGATCTTGTTCTGTGCATTGTGAAACCGAGCCGAGTATGTCTCCATTCGGTGGTTATGAGTCCAGGTCCCGTTCCACAGATATGGGACGAGGACGATACCTGCCGGAGACTATTTGACACATGGAGCGTTGCTGATACACAAAGCTGAGCTGGCGATTGCAGTATGCCTTGTAGACCACGCACGCAAAGCAGCAATACCCTCTAGCTGTTCTTCGCTAGTCCATATTGAAGACCCCAGAACTGGCACAGTGCCATAGACCTCGTCATTCATCCTCTCTCCTCATTCCGAGCCTTGTGTATGATCCCTAATCTCGTTAGAAAGCTGTACCGCGAAAACGGATTTTCTTCTTAGGGACTTACCCATGTATGCTATGAGTTGTGCTAGTCCAGAAGTAATCTTTTGCCTCGACTACAAGATTGCATGACTCATTTGCGGCGGTTTCTATCGGATGCTATAGTGGGCAAGCCTGGTCAAATTGCGCTTCTTTACGAAAAGAAATTGTCGATTCTAGCTTGCGTTCACAGTGGAGAAACAGATGCTGGGCGTTCTGCATGTGATTTCGTTGTCCAAGAGTGGGAAGTGAGTATGTATTACTATGGCATCCAGTCGGCATCTCATAGCCGCCCAATGAATTGCCCTTAATTACTAGATACTGAGACGAGCACTTGCCCAAAAACAAGCAAGACACATTACCACTGCAGAGGTGTAAACATATGCAGCGTATTCAAAGTGTATTCAAGTAAACACGTCAGTCGCATAACGCATGCTCGCCTTCAAGTGATCAAAGAACTTTTCAACCTCTTCATCATTCACCTCAGGTGGGACATCTTCCTGCTTCGTTTCCAACGCAATCCGACGACGCTCCTTCTTCACATCAACGTAGATATTGTTAAACGCTTGGCGCACAGCCTTGCCTAGTTCCGCACTTCCACAAACATAGATCCTAGCCCCCTGCTCAAATAACGAGACTACTTCATCTCTGTCACTTGTAATCCGGTCCTGGATGTGCTGGGCTACGGAGCCGTCGGCGGGACGGCTGTATGCCCATCTGACGTCGACGATACCCTTGCGAGACCATTCAGCGAGCTCTTCTGCGTGAATGTCGTCCTTGCCTTTGGTGCGGCAGCCGACGTAGAGAATAGCCGGGGCGGGCTTTTCGGTAATAGAGTCGCTTCGGCTGAGGATCTTTTCAGCCCGGTCCATGACAAAACCGCGGAAAGGCCCTAAGCCACTTCCTGCGCAGGCCATTATCATTGGCGTGTTCAGGTCGGTGGGGGGCTTGAAGCCTGAGTGGGAGGGACGGACAGCGATGTGAACGCGCTCGTCAGGCTGGAGAATGGAAAGGTAGGTAGAGGCTACGCCCATGTACGGCTCGTCGGTGCCGGAGAGTGAGGGTGCGTTGAGCACGGACACTGTAATTGAGCATTCTGTCGGGTCCGTAAGTGGTGAGGATGAGATAGAGTACTGGCGTACTCGCATGGGCGGGAGCATGGCTAGGAAGTCGCCGAGTGGTAGGCCGATGGAAGGATAACGATCCAAAATGTCCAGCAAGCTGAGGCGTTTGGTGACAACCTCCTCATTGAAGCGGCTAGGACTGTTGGCCATGTATCGCAGCTCGGCCTGGGATTCTTCGTCGGCCACGGCTGCATCTGCCAGGGCAATCAGGTCTCGTTTGGACGCGGGTTGGGACAGTTCAACATAGGAGGAGAGGAGAGCGAAGGCCGAGATTGGGGTGTCAATGGGAATGGCTGATGGTCCGCTTTGGGTCTGGGATGGCTTGCGAACAGTCAAAAAAGCATCCCAAGGCAGTTTGAACCGACGCATTGCTCGACGGACGATGCTCGTTGGGTTCACGGGAAGCACGGCAAGGTAATCACCGCACTGGTAGGTCATGTCGCTTGGAAGCTTGATTCTCACCAGCCGTTTCGCTGAAACGTCGGGTGCTGTTAGGAGTTGGTTCTCAATCACATATCCTTCCTGCAGCTGGAGGCCCAAGGTTGTCACTCGCTTTTCTGAGCTGAATTCGACTTGTAGGCCTGAGCTGGCTTTCTTGCCAGCCTGACCCTGAGCTTTGGAGCCAAATTTCGCACTTATGGCAGGCCATAATGCCGACTCACTCCAGTTATCGAAATCAGTAAACATGTCGGCGATGGCGGTATCAACTAATCCAATATCACACAAGCGATTCCCACCATGCTCGCCCACCAGCTCATTGATGGCTTTTGGAATCCGGTAAAAGGTGGCAGTCCAATCATCTTCATAGAATGGGTGATCAGCGAAGTTACATAGAACAGAAAACACATGAGTGATAAGGGATACTCACGATGTCCACAACCGAATACGGCATAATTTATGCCCTCGAGTTCATTATCCTTCGCTCCGCTTAGCCACTCGAAAAAGTGGGCCGCATTGTCAGCGGGTTGGCCTTCATAAGATGCAGCAATGAAAACCACAGGATCTCCTTTCGGAACATGCTCAGTGGCGGAATCCAGCGAATTGACCTTGGCACTAAATCCCCATGCGGCTGCATCATCTGCCAATCTCCGAGCCAAAGCCTCGCAGGTTCCGGTGTTGCTACCAAAGAAAATGTGCATCGGCTTCATGTCTCCCTCGGAAAGGGCTGCGTCTTTCTTACGTTCCCTCCTAGCTACCTTGGAAGATTCAGGAGGCACAGATCCACTGTTCAAAGCTGACTCCAACTTTATGGGGTCCAGCCCATGCCTGAGAGTAGCTCTCATCTTGAAATCCTGCGGCTTGATAGTGAGTGTCTGTTTGATCCGCAGGTCATAGCTTGGGTCATCCAGCTGAAAGTTGAAATTTTGCAACAGCAAAGCAATGGCCAGTAAGCCTTCTTGCCAAGCAAATGGCCGCCCAATACAACCTCGCATGCCATTTCCAAAAGGCTTCCAGGCGTTCCGAGGGAGACTGTTGAAATTCTCATCCAGCATCCTCTCAGGCTTGAAGTCCTCGGCGTCCGCACCGTAGACCTTGGGGTCGCGGTGTAATTTCGGGAGAAGCACCGTGATTGGCTCGTCCTTATTTAGAACATATTTTCCATTCCCCAAGGTCACAGGGTCTTCTTTGTTCTTAGTCGGATGCGCATGGACTCTTATGGCACTCGCCGGGGGGTTAAGGCGTAGTGCTTCTCGCATGACTGCATTGATATACGGCAACTTGGGGAGATCATCCACGGTAATCTTCCGTCGGCCAATCACCCTGTCCACTTCTTCCTGTGCCTTTTTATACGCAGGTGCATTTTTGAGTAGATAGTAGAAAACAAAGGACAGCATTCCAGATGTGGTTTCGTGGCCTAAGGGAGAAAAGGGTCAGAAACATGATAAATAACAACGACCCGACTCAGACAAAGCACCTACCTGCAATTAAAAAGGTAATCATGTTGTCAATGATCGACTCATCACTGAGGCCCTTCCCTGACTGAGGGTCTCGGCCGAGGATGAGAGCGTTGAGCAGGTCCTTCTTGTCTGAAGGATGCTTCCTCCTATCTTCGGCCAATTCCTTCGCCAAATTTCTCATATAAGAAATATCGTTCCAGAAAGAATTGTTATCGCTCGTGGGCAGTTGGTTTAACAGAGATGGGCGCTGTGCCCTATAGCTAGCTACCTGCAATCCACAACCATCGCTTCTACGAAGGGGTGCATGCTATCGTGGTAGAAAGAGTTGAAGCGGGTTCCCATGGCGCAGAGAGCAATGGAGTCGAGAGTCAGGCGGGTGAAATCTTCCGTGACCACAATGGGAGTCTCAGGTCCCTGTCGAGCCCATTTCATGACGAGCTGGTTGGCAATGTCTTGCATCTCTGTGGCAGATTGACAACTCTTTAGTCCGATGCAATAGTGGTACAATTGGCGATGGGCTGCTTACCATCGAACATGGCCCTAATAGATAGGGGCCCAAAAGCAGGAATAAGGACACGGTGCGCAAGCGCCCAGTTCTCTTCGCCGGGGTACGAACAATCCATCGTGAAGAAGATGGCGAAGCTGGCCCAAACCACCATCTACCGATTTAGCGAATCGCTCCTCATTGCACGCTTCGTCGACGAGTTCTTGAGTAGAAATCACCACTCTCGACACGCCGAAAGTGGTCAGTCGGTAGATTGGACCTTAGCAGACGCATTGCAGTTAGCATAGATAATTATATCAATGAGGGGAAGAAAGATCCGTGGCTAGCTGATTCTGATGTGAGAAGCCATGGGGATAGAAAAAGCAAATAGAACATTGTGGAGGGGTAAGGGCGGGGTTACCATATTGATCTGCCAGCAACTCAAAGCTTCGGATTGGCATCTCCTGGTCAATATCGTAGACATTTCCCAGGAATGGAACGCCTTTGGGGCCTGGGATAGGAATATGCTTTACGCTGCTCATGATGGTGTATGAATGTGAAGTGGTGCCAATTGCACTAGAGCTCTTGACGGAGAAGATGATTAGTTCTCATAGAAGGTCTGGTGGAACAAACAACACAGGTTTTAAGTTTCTCTCAGCGACCACAGATCACCTGATGGACACACTTTGATAAGTCGAATTGGATTGGAGAGGGGACACATGCAGGAAGGAGACTTTATACCCCGTAGAATGTTGAAAATATTACGGTCGGAGGGAACGTATGCCTGATGACGGTGCATAAGTCCAGTGCAGATGAAGTGTCATCACTCCACGCCATCATATGCGAAAAGGAATCCCCAGGCAGAAGGCCGCCCGACTGCAGTGCATACCAGGGCAACCATAGTGGCGAACGTCATGGGGCTGATGAGAGTGGATCATGATACAATGTAGATCAATGAGTCCAGAGGACGGGATCGTAATGGAGAAACTAGAAACAGCGCATCTACCGCGGCCTGTAAGCACTAGCGGAACCTCGGCCAGCCAGAGATGCAGGTTTACTATTCATAGCTGGGGCATGAATTATGATTAGCAAACGGGGGCATATGATCGGTCCATCGGTATGTCGGACACGGAGATCGGTGACAACGGACCGATGGCTGAAGTTGGTAGATACTCCGGGACAACTCCAAAGTAGTGGAAGTAATGATCCATGGATGCTCTCTGTTATGCCGCTTATGCGTTGCGGTGGATCCAGATGATGCTTGGTATGTGCATATGATCAGTCATCATGGCCCCCACTTTGCTATCGAACTGGTCTCGTGGCGCAATGGTAGCGCATTAGTTTCCGGTACTAGAGGTTGTGCGTTCGAGTCGCACCGGGATCGTTCTTTCCTTTTTGCCATTCGACGGTTGTGATACTTTCTTTTTGGCACCGCATCTCACTCAACAAGCATCCTTGCGTCATTAAATCTCCGTCTTGGACCATGTTCCAGTGTCATAACCTTATCGCTCAATCTCGAGGCCTGTCGACCGTGCTGAAGAGGTCACACATGCAAATGCCCAGAGATAATACACCCATCAATGACATTAGTAGGGCACCGTAGATGATCGTAGGCGCGCTACAGGACGTGACAGACGGCGGTATGGCTCGGTCTGCATCACTGTTAGAAGCATCCTACTACAATAGCCTATAGGCCGACAATCCTAGTGAATTTATCTGCCAGGATGCTTGGCTGAGTTTGCAAATTTGTAGAAGCAATAATCTGCACAGCCCAGAAAAGAATCCATTTAAATGCAAGTTGGTATATGTACAAGAGGAAATGAACGCTCGTCCTAGAGCCACAGGACTGGAGAAGATGGTGGGAACAATATGAACAAGATCAAAAATAAATCAGAAAAGGTAGGATGGTGCGTCGCTCTCCCGATCGTGGTGCGTACTCAATATGGTTCAAATACAACTCCAGCGCGACCTTGGCCAGCAAAGCAGGCGCTGGTATGGATTGCTTCGCCGCGTTGGTGTGATGGGCACGCAGAAGCTTCATACAAATCCCCACAGAAAGAGGCAAGATGGGCACCCCTGGAACAAAGGTTGGTTTCATCGTTTTCGTCATGGACACAGAGGTCATTTTAAAAGGGATACTTCGCCGGCTAGGAGACTGGCTGGTAGCCCTTATGTTTCCATTCGCTTTGTTTCCACTCGGACTGGAAGTTGTTCATCTCCGTCCGTTCGGAATCCCACTTTGCATCGTTCAAAGCATGTTCGAGACGGCCCCTCTTGCGCTGCCGCACACAGAAGAAGATGAAACCAGCAAGACAACTGGCTCCGACAGCTGCTACGCCAATGCCGACACCAGCCTTTGCGCCACTTGGTAGCTCGTTCCATTTTTCGGACAGTGACTTCGGAGGAGGCTTGTTGAGCTGTTCCACGGTGGTAGAATTACCACTAGGATTGGAGAGTTAGTCTTGTAGGAATATTGGGTCGGCTATAGGGAGACACTTACGACACGACCTTGATGCTCTCCCAGGATCCCGAATGGTCCGTATATGAATACTCCTTGCCCGTATGGAAGTCATGCACGCGAACCTTCTCAACTACCATGGTGTACGGGCCAGCCGAGTAATCAATCTCACCACCTGCCCATACAATGGTACCATGAGGCTGACTGGGATCGCCGGCAGGCCAGATTCCAAAGCGGATGTTGCTGGGAGTCTGGGGGAAGTTCTTGCCACCCACAGCATCCTCATACTTCAGTGTGCGGACTAGTTGCTGGTCAATCCACCACTCGACCTTTTCACTCGTCCAGTAGGTGGTATAGTTATGGAATTCCGTGTCGGCATTGGGAACGTAGTGGAAGCCACCCCGGTCGAAAGATGTGTCGTTACCCTTGCCGAAATAGTTGGATTGTACCTCGCTGGTGTTGTATCCCACCCACTCCCAGTCAATCTCATCCAAGTCATCTGACTGGAGCACCACACTGCTCACTACACCACCGCCCTTGGCCATTTTGACGTGGGACTCGACAATGCCAAAGAAGATGAAGAAGTTAGATTGCATGGTGGGCGAATCCATCTTTTGGGCGATAGAGAATTCTGCACCCTCATCGGTAATGCCAATATTGCCGTTGGTGACATTCCAGATCGTGTCGTCAAGGGTGGAGTTGAAGTACCAGGTGTGATTGGTACCCAAGGCTGCGTCTGCAGGACATGTTGTATTGAGTGGGTTACAGTTGCTGAAAGTCTGAGCGGTAACAAGACTTAGACTGGCTACCAGCAGCGCCAGTACATGAAAGAGTGACATGACGGCAGGCTGTATCGGGCTGTATCGTCCAGGGCCACCACTCCCCGGGAAACTCTGGTTGCAATGAGCGGAGAGAGTCGAGTCAAGTTGCGGGTCAAAGACCTCTCTCGGATGTGATAAGACGCGACAGAGGGATCTGGAGAAAGAGATCGAACCCTACAGCGGCGTTGTCGAATATCCAACTTTTCCCCACAAGAAAAAAGAGTGACGATTATTGAATGAATGGCAGTGCGATCGAATCGCACGAGGTGTGTTTGATGCCCACCGGCAAGGGAACGAAGGGGAGCAGGAGGAGGATAGCAACGAGATGAAACGGAGAAGAACAAACGACAGGAGAGGAGAAGAACGAGAGGGTATGACGGTTTACCTTTTAATTAATTTAGAGCCATGGCATCCAACCCACACATGGGCGTTGGCAGACACTTTGCTTTCCCTTTTTTTCGTCCCCTCATCACTAATATCCGAGTCATGCTTATTTTTAAACCAGCATGTCTCTCTCTTTTCTTTCCCTACATTGGATGTCACTAGTTCGGCCCTAAACATTAAGGGGCACTTTTGAAACAGGAAACTGCCCGACCAAGAAAGTATGGCTAAACGTATTGAGTCTAGCGGTCTGCCGATCCACCCTGGATTGGCCACTAGCGTGGTCCCTGACCCTGACGCTAGTCTGATCTGGAAAGGGTCGCTTGTACCCGCCAAGACCCTGCCGCGATGGGCGATAAGCAACGCTCAGGCACCCAAATCCAATCAGCTCAGGGGAGCGTCGTTGGATCTTCCTGAAGATTAAATGAGTTTGTGTTAGTATGGGTTAGTCTGATTTGATCCGGGCGAGAGATAACAGTTGCCACTGTGCGGGATCTCGGGGAAGGGTCCTGCCAACAATTCATCAGGCTGACCCTCGCAGTGTAAAGCCTCTGTTCCCTGCACTTTTCATTAATAACAAGGGTCGAATTTGACCTTGCTTCGGAAGCATCCCAGGCACCAACATCCTGCACCTGGCCAAGACCCTTGGCCTGTCGAAGCCAAAGGCAGTCTCAGTAGGCGAATTACTAGTGGCGGGGCCGGCTGGGGAAGGTCTCAGCACAAGGCCAGTGCTGTGGCAGTGGCTGGTGGATGCCATTGAACAGTGGACACCACTGCGGCAAATTTTAGGTCCGTTAATGGGGTGGTAATTTTGAAGTCAGGAGCCACTAGAGACACCGCAACCTCCCGCAAGGTTCGCCTCCTTGTGGATATAATAGGCCTATGAACCATGATTCTTCACCCTACAAAGATTAAGATATGAGGATCAGCAGGAGGTCTCAGTGCTGCAGAGGCAGGATATGCAGATACAAGGAGCATTTTCAAGGTGAGGTTGCAGACCGCTACCTACCAACTTATGCAGAGCGTGCAGTTTCGGATTTGCCAAGCATTCTTTTACCCACTGCCAACAGCCGTTCGGATGAACGCGAGGCCAAGATGCCGAACTGCAAAGAGGGTGCCTGACCCCGTATATTATTAGACACCATCATCACGGTAATTATGCGCTGACCCGTTACCCTTTTGTTTAGTAGAGTGTTGTACCTCGTTCGGTAGATAGTCGGCCCATGACTTGTGGGGAGAACTTACAGCCCCCTTTTTGGGGGCTTAGTGCCTGTCCACTGCTGTCAACAGTCCAAAGTAGATCCGCCATGATTTTGGAACACATGACGAGTGAGTCTGAATGAATTGGGGTATAGTAGACTGTAACTGCGGCTGTTTCCTCATTTCGTCTGTCTTGTTTTGCTGTAAGAAAAAACTACTAAGCGTCGCCAAACTTGACAATCCATCCAAGCCCTTGTAGAAACTCTCGTATTGCGGCCGGAGTACCGTTATTATATATCCTGACAACAATGGTATCCAGGGTAGCTATTTCCTTTATCTGGGCATCGACCTCCAGACAACTCTTTCGAATGGACTTATCGTTCATCTGGTCATCTGCGACCAGAATGCTGGCATATTGACCAAAGGTGAGCATTTCCAATGTCTGTAAATTGGCACAGCTTTGTCGTATTAGCTGTAACCTTCGTAAGCCATCAGTGAGTCTCGTCTCTCCAAAGGTGCTTGATATCTGCTCGGTGACCGGAAAGTTGATGCATAGATGAGACAAGATCCCAAAATTTTTAGGTCCGATGCAGTTCAGGAAGGATTCCAAGAGAGTGCCCGGACGACACGCCGTCTCTATCTCCTGGAAGGTGAACCGATTCATGCTATACAGAATATTCATTGCCTCGCCAGATATTTGTCGACTGACGTAGGTCAATGCAAGCCATGAGCCGGGCTTTTCGGGTGCAAAAGATTCCAGTGGACATCCTGGGTCCTGAAAGATATGGAGTGGATGAGGTAAGACGAGAATTTGTTTGTATATGTTGTTACGAATCTGGATAGGTAAACCCAAGAAATTGAAAGGCAATGGTGATGCTGATATTGCAGGCGTGTCTGCGGTACCTGAACAACACATGGTAAGAAAAATTCAAAGCGACTATGTTGGGTGAGCGAAGCTGTGCAGCAGCTGTTGTCAAGCTAAGTCTTTCTTTATTGAGCGGAACAAAGAAAAGTTCAGTGTTGCGTGAGCTACATAAATTAGCAGAAATGCAAGGTATTATTCTTCTGTGGCATTGGAATCTAGCTACTCACGAATTGCCAATACATCATCCGAGGATGTGCCATACTCTGCAACTCACTGGTAGTTGTAGGCCAGACAATGATTCCCCTCCTTTCGCGGTTTGGCTTTGGAGGAAAGGATGAAATGGTCGAAGGAAAAGTCACTACAACAAAGAATGGAAGCCATGTGACTTGCTGAAGCGGGGGATGTCAGAGCCCTGCCTCTTTCCGAGAATTTCCAACCCATGGGATTGCTTCCCTACAATCCATGGTTGCATCAGTCCCACTGGATGCATCTAGATCTATTCTACAGAGAACGAATTGATCGACTAAACATGACAATTCTAACAAAATTGAGCTTTTTAGTCTCTTGGTTGATGCATAGGTTTACGGCAGAATGTGCTGCCAAACTCACTACCCAACTAACATACAGTACTCCGAGCCGACCAAAGGTTATGGGCATCAGTCGCTTCAACCCAAGGTTTACTGTAGTTTTTTCCATGGATATGGGACGTTGGAATCCATAGCCATGGATGTTTGATTCTAACGCGCTTACACTGTCTTAGTTATAGAAATCGCCTTTGTCGAGCGGCATAGATGGGCGCAGGCATCTCGCATCTTTGACTCGACCACACATAAACAAAGAAACCATGATAGACAGTATTCTTGAAGCGGCCAGTCAACTAGTATCTAAAAAGGGTGAAACCAAAGTCGCTGTTGTCGTAATTCTCACACGAAAGTGCTATAGAGATGAGTATAATATCGCTTCCCGACCAGCTTTCCAAGCTCTACAGTGACCTTCTTTCCCGCTGTGCACCCAATGAGCATAAAGATTGTGTATTCGCCATCACCGCTCTGAATCTTCTCGCCATTACCCACAGACCATTTAGCATACTAGAGTTGTCTTGGGCCGTGACCCTGCATACCGCTCGCAATGTTACCACCGTTGACGACCTTGCCAAGCTAGTGGACCACAAAAAGCTCATGAGCATGATACAACCCTTTATCGCAAGTGTTGAGCTTGATGACTTGGGAAAATACTAAGTTCAGCTCATAGACAAGTCGTTGCAGGATTTAATCAAGAAGAATTGGGCCACAAAATACTCGAATACAGAAGGTCCACACTACTCGGGAGATGATGGACAACGCTTTGAAAGCCCAGAAGCATTGATATTGGATATATGCGTGCGATATCTTCTTTTAGATGAGATTGGCGTCGAATTCGTCTTCTCCGAAGAGCAGATTGCGATTTCGGAGCTTCCGCCAGAGTCTGACTTGTTCAACGACGAGAAGGGGCCAGTCAAGTACGATTTTCATTGCTCGTGGGAAGCTTGGGAAGAAAATATGACTCGGTTCAATCCGGCTGAGCGTGGATTGGGTGAGGTCTTTGTCTACGCATCATGCTATTGGCCTGTATTTTTTGGTCGCGTCACGGCTGAGGGCCTTCCCAACCTAACGAGTATCGAAAAGTTGTGTCAAGCCGACTCGAACCGAATTCGCAACTGGACTCAGCAAAACCATCGTCCAGGCTGTGCGATGCCACCAAGGTTCCCATTTGACAGCCAGCTCTATGATCCCCTCAGTATCACCTGCCTCTATGGCTCTGTGGATATGATGCATGTCATGCTTAGGGATTCTGATTTTGACAATGGCAATTACCTCGAAATGACGGCCATGAAGGCGGCAGATCAAATCCTTCAATGGGGAGACATGTCCAGGCTCAGGGCACTTTTTCTGGATCCGAGACTTGGTCATCAGCTACGAAATCTGGACTTCTTCCGCCTGATTATCCGCAGGTGGCGTGAATCGAGTGTCTGTCGACCCGACTGGGAAGATGCCTTCGCGCTAATTGATCTGATAAGAGATCAAATGGTCCAGCAGCAATGGGGATATGAGCTCTGGTGCATGGCTGCCAGTGCAGGCTGCGCGCCCATTGCTCAGAGAATACTGTCTGGTGCTCGGCATAATGAAGGGCTTAGAAGAGAGCTACTGCGTGAATTTTCACTCATGCCACAAGTGGCACCCTTGAAGTGATATGGTCATGTGATGGTATACTTGCTGGGGGAATAAAATTGAACTACATCGTCATTACCTGCCTGCGGCAAGAATATCGCTCTTCATCTAATTCCCGACACTATATCTCCGAAACATTGCCCTGTAGTATAACCACTAGTTTCTGCACAGTTTAACTAGGCGAGAGCACAAGTATAAAAAATAGCTTTGGATTTGTCACACACTCTACAGAGCGATCAGAGTTAACCACACCATATATTAGAGTCCTAGTCATGCTGTTGCATATATTCGAGGAAGCATCAAGGCAAATACACGATCAGATGCAAGTTGGTGATCCCCAGATCTATCTCCAGACAAGATAAGGTAAACTAATTGACACTTATAGCCAACAACAACAACCATAAAGGCCACTAAAAACGAGGCAAAGTACGTAGTCCAAACGGGAAAGTCAAATGCAAGCGGGTCAAGCAAAACATGCCGGGTACCATCGGCATAACGGCACTGGCCCACCTCAAGGTTGACTCATTCCTTCTAGACACCTGCCAAAGCACTCTTCAATAGTTTCACGTGTGTTGCAGAACTAATCTAATTCCAAATAGCATATAGCATTGTGACACTCTTATCCTCGCTTCAGACCACCCCTCTCCTTGCCATCAACTAATCTACCCATATCTCAAAAAATGTCTATACCTATCGGCCGGGACGAGCAGCAGCCCGTCATATGCGTTTTGTAGGTCAATCCAAAACCAACGAAACCATCCCGCCTAAACTCCATAACCAGCTATCTAATCTACTAATTCCATCCAGTTGCGGCGCCCAACCCGGCAATTCACCTGAGTACATAGCCGCCGCTCGCGCACTTGCGCATGAACTGCACGCCGCCAACGCAAAACTAGTCTATGGAGGCGGAACAAAAGGCCTAATGGGCGAGGTGGCAAAGACTCTAGTATCACTATCTGGGCCATCTGCAGTGCATGGCTTCATACCCAAGGCACTGGTAGCACACTATCCTGATGCGGACATCGGCCACCAGGCCGAAGGCAAAGCCCAGGAGGATGGGAAACAACCCGAGCGAATGCTTGCCCCGGGGTCTTCACCAGCCGAGGGAGAATATGGGAGAATCACCATCGTGGACAGCATGCACGAGCGAAAACAGAAAATGGCAAAGGAAGTTCTTGCCGGTGGTCCTGGGTCAGGGTTTGTAGCACTTCCGGGCGGTTATGGGACCCTTGAGGAGGTCGCTGAGGTTATTACGTGGAATCAACTGGGGATTCATGATAGAGGGATTGTTTTGTTGAATGTTAATGGGTTTTGGGATGGGCTTGTGATGTGGATTGAAATGGCGACTCAGCGGGGGTTTGTTGGACAGGCGAATAAGGGTATCATGGTGGAATGTAAGGAGGTGGAGGAGGTGATTGGGGTGCTTAAGGCGTATAAGCCGAGTGGTGGGAGGTTAAACCTGTCTTGGGGGAGTAAGTGAGGATGAAGCGAGGAGAGGTTGGGGGGTGGGCGGTATTTCGAGGGCTGGAGAATAAAGTTAGAATTCGGGGCCTTCCGACAGTTGCCGGCTGCTGGCCAATTAACTTCATCGTGTGCTAATTTCATTATCAATGAGCATCCCAGGTTTCTGCTATTATCCATAGCTTTGTGTCAAGCTTCGGTGTGGGCAAATGGGAAGGACATGATTATTTAGCCAGGCTAATGTCACACACTTGTCTGCTAAACCGCATGGCTGCCATGTTCCGCCCCCTCCTTCATTCAAAACTCCTCAAGTTCCTTCATAATTGCTGCTTTGATTTCATCAGAGGCCCAACAGATATCAACGGCATTCCGTTGTAGCTGGACGAACTCCGCATCAGTGAAATTTCCCAGTACACGAAGCAGGTAGAGACTGTTGTTCAGCCAAATATCTTCCATATATGACGGGTCATCACTGCCAATGGCTATTTTGATGCCAGCGTTGAACAATGTGCGAACCCGATCAACAATCCGAGCCTCTCCAGAGTAGCACAGATAACCCCACGGACAAATCGTCATTCCAAGGTCCTTTTCTTTGACCTTCTGAAGAAGAGAAGAATCGTCGGCGGCATGTAACCCATGATCAATCCTGTCCGCTCCGCTTCCTCCCAGCTGGTCAACCACTTGGCCAATATTCCTCAGTGTATCTTTATCACCGACATCGCAATGGCAAGTAATCTTAAAGCCGTCTCTGCGAGCGCGGAGAAAAACATCCTCAAAGAGCAATGGCGGACGGTCAACCTCTAGAGAGTCCAATCCGAATCCAACGATCATGTCGCGATATGGTAGCGCCTGAAGATAATGCTCCATAGCAGAATCCGGGGACATGTCTCGCAACATGCACATGATCCACTGAGAATGGACCTATAACCATCCTTAGCGAGAGATCACAAGATGCATAGGGTCCAAACCACCTACCCCAAGAGTCTGAACAGCCTCACTCTGCGCCCTCTTAAACCCATCCATCATCGTCCTAAAAGGCACACCTCTTCGCGTATGACCCTGCGGATCAAAGAACGGCTCACAATACCGAACACTCATGGAAGCAGCCTTTCTGAAGTAATTCATTGCAAGACGATAAAAGTCCTCTTCATCCTGGAGGACACTGAAACCACCGTAGTACAGTTCAAAGAATCGCTGCATTCCACCATCTACACCTCCTGCATCCAGGTCATTGAGGAGCTCATACGTACCCTTCAATTCCAACAAACTCTCGCAAGGCCGCTGGGTATTGATATTGAGAACTGACTCTCCGCGCCGTTGCGCGAGCTCCCACCGGAGCTCGGGTGTCATTGTACCCTCGATATGAACATGCATTTCGACTTTAGGCATGTCTTTGATGAAATTGTCATTGTGCTGGTGGATTGCGCTTCGATAATCTCGCAGGGTTTTGTTTGAGAGGAGAGATGTGTTCGAGGCCATGATAGATAGCGCGGTAGACACAGTTTCGGTTGTTGACTTGGAAATGGGAAGCAAAAAAATTGAACGTCGTTCTTCCATCTTTTATAGCTTGAGCGATAACCCTCTTGGGGGCGTGTCATATCGATCGGACGCCTGAGAAGCGGGGTTTGCACCAACCAGCAATGATTGGGCGCGGGGGTTACGATGTAATACTAAGTACCACTGGGTAGTAGTAGATTGTCATTTCTGACTGCAGATTGATTGGAGCGTCCCGACAACCTTGCAGCTTCTTCGAAATACCACCGATGTCCCCGTACCTTATCTCCGTCTAACCTAACCACCAATTGTAATTCCGAGATGGCCCAGCCTTTCATCACATGATTCTTATGCTCTGCAGATTTTGATACTCTGATATATCTTAAGTGAGGTAGGAGCACCATAGCTATTTCTTCAGTGTTATACTAAAGATAATGGATAATAGATAATGATTTTCTCTAGAGTCCTGGATCGCAGCCAGCATATACTTTACCTAACATCTTTGTTCCAAATTCGAGAGATCCTTATACCATTACTATATCTCCTCTCTGTCTCTATCTACATTCAGTGTATGATCCAGTACTTGTTCTCATCTCAAGAAGCGAGCAAATGGGCCTGTATTATTCGCGAGTAATCGACTCCCGATCCCTTCCATATACCCTTGTTATCATCTGTATATCGCTGTGTTATACACTATCACCTCGAACACATCGCAAACAATCAAATCAAACCATAAACATTATTCCTCAATATATCACATAATTCCATTGATCATAGCTCATTATACTACATCACCAAAAGAAGACACACACCCTCCAATCCCAGCCCCCCAGTCCTCATCCTCCAACCCAACCCCTCCAGTCCAGATATTATATCAAGAAAGATACACCTTCGTCGGCCTCCTCACCGACGACCCCCCACCATGTCCCGACGGATGTTTCTCCAGATAATAAACCGTGGGACTACTATGGCGCCGTCTTCTCCTCCTTGTCGTTGAGGTGGCCAAGTTCGCCTCGCCGTAATCTGACCCTCCACTTGAACTAGACCCTGATAGGGAACACAGATGCCATAGCCATAGGATGAGTAAGGTGCCTGCGATAGTGCCGAGGACGATGCCTGCGATGCCCCCGCCGGAGATGGTGTTAGGGCAGTCGGGGTCGGCGCGGGGAGAGAGGAGATGATTAGTGTTGGTGTTTGTTTGGTGGAGGGGTGGTGGTATTATTGGGGCCTGGGGTTGTGTTAGTAATTTGATGGTGGTATCTTGATGTTGGATAGAGTGGTGGTTGGTTCGGATGAGACCCGCTTTTTTTTGTTCTTCTTATGGCTGGGATGATGGAGTTCGTTCATCCATGGATGAGTGGTGGGTGGTACGTACCATGGTTATTAGATTAATGGATTAATGTAAATTATATTGAAGGGGGAAAGGAATGATAGGAATTTGATGGGTATATTCTACCGAATGAACTGAAATGAGGGCAATGTCCATCATATAACAATTACTCGCATCTTTCTACAGTGTGCGGGAATCTCTATCCGTTGACGTCAACCACACGTCTTTGTCCCGGACTCCCGACGATGCCAAACGAAGCAGCGATTGTCCGTTCCACCACGGCCCGGATTTCTTGTTCTTGTTTGTAGTTCAGCTACGACGCGTGGAACTCTGCCAATGACTGTCCGTGGAAGAGTCAATTGGGTTTGATGTGCCTTGTGTTGAGGGTGCGGGGTATGGCTATCATTGGTGAGGGTTTGTCGGCGTCATTGTTGCAATTCTTGGTTTGGAGGCTTGCGGAAGTAGTTACCGGTTGGGAAATTATGGGGCTACTGTCTTGTAGAATGGGATAGCCGAGGCATGGGTGATTGCTCAAATCACAGTGTGCATGTGCATTGGTCACTATTGGTGGTGGCTATTGGATATAATCATAGAACTGGGTAACTAGCTTGCGCTGCCTCTCCTTCATATGCTCCGATGTCCTGGCGAGGGAGGCACACTGCCAGTATCCCAGGCTGTCATGTCTGCACCTAGCTCAAATTCAATGGTACCGCCTTGGGTCATGACATCCTCGTGCTCGAACCAGTTCTTCGTCCAGGCTTGTCCGTTGATTTTCACGCTTTGCACATAGTAGCCCTTGTCTAGTCCGTTCGCGATGATACGGAGTGTCTGGTTACCATTGACGGTCATGTTAAGGTCTGGAAACCAGGGCGAAGCGAGAAGATAAACTGGTTGTGTGACGACAGGATAGATCCCCAGCATCTGCCACAAGAGCCACGAGTTCATCGCCCCAGCGTCACTGTTTCCTGGGACCCCATAGGCTTCATCTCGGAAGCTATTTGATTTTAGTTACTGTGGATATTATATGATATAAGCTCACTTACTACTGATACCCCAGATTCCGCGACTTTTCCACGCTCTTGGCTTGCTTGTTGATGTAGTTGTATAAGTACGGAGTCGCAAAGTCGGGTTCGTTTCTATAAACTGCTCAGTCATCACTCATATGGCTATATATTAAACTGCTTACCCAATGTTTATGATTGTCGTAATACCTGCCCCATTTGCTCCAAGGTTCTGGACTGACATGTTCGGCTCGAACTAGTAGCGTTAGCTGTACGCCTACCAAGAGTGTCATTACATTGAGTACCATCATATCCAGTCGGGATTCGAATGTATCTGCACCACCCATAAAGTCGATCAGGGTTTCCATGTCATGCGGTAGCACAAACGAGTATTCTGGAATTTCACACTCGTCAGACCGAATCAAAAAACGTGAATGGCAACCTACCCCAGGGAACGCCTTCGTACGTATACGCGAGCCATTCACAGCCGTAGCAGTAACGAGGATCGTAGCCACTGTTGTTAAACGAGCCGTTCGAGAATTTGGGCGCCAAAAAGCCACTGAAATTCAGACTCTGCACATCCGGGTTCCAGATATGTTGCCATCCAGCAGACCGATTCAAATACTTTTCTTGATCGCTAGGCTCTTCTCCTGCGGCCACTTGGCTGACCGCAAAGTCGTTGAGACTATACTCCACGGTCCTGGAAATGCAGCGCGTGTTGCGATCTTGCGAGACATATCCCAATTCTAACCAATCACCCAGGGCTCCACGGCCTTCCTTTGTACTTGCGGAAAGATCAGTAGCGTCCCAAGTATTGTATGGAATAACCTCCGCATTAGTCTTCATTGCTGCATAGCCATCCGTCCAATTGATCGCGCCTCGCAGACCCTTCACATAAGCATCTGCTAGCATGTTGTCCGCATCAGAGCCGCCTTGAACCAGCCCGTTCCAGTTCCCTGAGCGGCCATCTGGTAGGAAGCCTTGATGTCTATGGATATATTAGCGTTGTGATACTTTCATCTTTAACTGGTTTACCACCTACCTCCAGATGTCGATAAGCCCCCGGATCATGGACTCATAGTAGGTGGGCTGATAGATGTGATAGAAGCTGACTGTGCAGCGGAATATATCCCCTAAGTATAGTCAGTACCACTCTCCAGTTGCCGCGCGAAGCCTTTCACTACTGACAAAGCGTGTAGAAGTCATCCCAAAAAGGTTCATCCGACTGCCACAGCGGGTTTTCACCGGTGCGGTCGGATGGCATCAAGTGTATAAAGTAGAGAGAACTATAAAGTAGTCGCACATTTGTCATATTCGCCGTGCTGTCGAGAGATACTTGAGTCTTGCTGAAGACATCCTTGTTCCATTCGTCAACAGCAGACTGCACGGTATCGTTCAACGTCCAAGAAGGTATTTCCGAAGTGATGTATGAGCGAGCCTTGTCTGTAGAGATGAAAGATATACCAACTCGAGAGCTGATCTGTGTATCTGCTTCAACATCCCAGCTGAAGAGCGCCCCGATACGGTCATTCATGGGGCCCGATGTCGCTTTATCGGTGGTGTTGCCATATGTTGGTTGCGGTATGCCTCCGTTTGCCAGGTTCTGATAACGTGGCATCGGGTCTGTGTTAGTCCCAGTAAAAGTACGAGCATCCGTCGGTGCCGTAGAGAACTCGCCGTAGAAATAGACTGTAAAAGGGGCGCCTTTAAGTCCCATTAGAATGCATGCGCGGTGCTACGGAGTGAAGTGCGGACCATTGTTCCAGCCACCGACATATGTTCCATAACCGGTATATGCTTTTCCATTATCTTCAAGATTGATCTCGCCGCCGACGTAAAACTGCCCATTAGAATCGCCGGGTGATCCGGGAAGATACTTTAGCCATGTTAGCTTCTTCCATATATTCTGAGTGTGGAGAGTCATACGTGGGATATATCGACCAAAACGTGCTTCTCCCCTTCAGGAAAAGAATACTGAATGATACCAGCATGTCGACTAGCTGAAAGTTCAATCTCTACGCCGCTCTGCAGCAAGGTCCTGAAATATCCCACACTTGCGGAGTCGTTCCCAACCTAATTCTGTGAGCTGAGACAATAGAGTGTCAAGGGCAGACATTTTCATACTCTGGGCTGGCTGTAGGTAAGGTTATCTAATAAATTCACCGGCGACTCCACAGAGGTAAGAGGCATCTGTGGTATAAGACCATACTTAGGGGCACCTCCGGTGCCGCTCTCATGCATCATGGCTAGTAGATGGAGATTAGGCACAAATTCGAAGTATGCAAAGCAGTCCTAAGAGGACATAAACATACTGACTGCGGTGACATTCCCATCAGGTGTCCAGCCACCGTTTAGAACAGCGAGACTCCAGTTTGCGGCTGTTGTATCGATTCCCACCTTTACTACTCCAAAGGGTCGAGCACCACCAACAAAGATATCACCCCCTCCGTAACCCTGACCCGGAGTTGGACCTTCCGATCCCATGAAAGGATTAACATATTGAGAGTAATCCACTTGAGTGGCGGAAACAAGCTCTAACACTCCAACGACAAGAAAAAGCAACAGCTGGTTTGGAACGCGCATGTTTGCAGCCCGCATGGTAAAGCACGAATAGAGGACTTTTCAAAAAATTGGCAAAGCGAGGGGGAAAAGCTTATAAATAAGAGATCTTCCTGGTTATTTAGATTCATGGAAATCTGCCATTTCCCCGCGGGGATGATCAGTGCGGAGTCGGCTGCAGCTCATCCCTGGCAGGAATAATTCCACGACACATTGCATAGCGACTGCAGGAATGCTGTTCATAGTTCGTTGGCTTATGACCCCTCTCGCTGCGGCACTAGGACCCCGCATACTTATGAATGCTTTGACTGTCTCTAATCCTCGCATTCTTCGTTTTCTCCTTTTCTTTTTCACGCGGACGCCTGTAATTGTGGTAGGACGTGTTTCCCAGGTAAGTCCCCATGAGTGCCATCCAAGGTCCCATTGATGTATCCGGGAGGTAACAAGATCAGACCACAGTGAAGTCATGCCAGACGAGGTACAGCCTCAGGTTAAATTGAACCAACAATGGATAGCGTGTCATTGCAAAAGTTTGGTTAAAGTCAGTGGTTGAAGAGGGGAAGGCATGACCCCACGTGGGAAGGGGACGTGATTGTACATTCAACAAACATGAAAGCCATCAGTCATTGGATCCATGACACTCTTTGGATAGCATTCAGTCGTTCCATCGTCAATACCTCAGATTGAAACAAGTGGGTGAAACGAAGAAGAAGAAGAATATCTGGTAGGGCTTCGTGCACAATTACTAAGCGGCACGGTCGGAGTATTCGGAGTCCAGATCAATTGAGTCGAACCATCTTCATCCACTCCCCCTTGTTTGCCCGTCAAGGTGACAGAATGGCAATAGCATCATGTTTCAGTGCTCGCAGTGCAACAAATCTTATCAGCGAAAGAGCCACTTGCATCGGCATGAAATAACACGTTAGGCCCCTGAACATCATGCCTTCTCAGGAATGCGGAACATGCTGACAACCCGACAGATACCGGCGCCTCCCATTCAAGCTGCCCTTTCTGCAATAAATCCTTCTTGAAGAAGTGCGTAAACCCCACACCAACTCTGAATGAAGTCACTCTAATCTGATGCACTTCAAGAGAGGTTGCGCGAAGGCATAGTAAGATATGTGCCAAAAAGCACAACCAGCCTCCTCCGGCAGCAGCTAAACCCGGGAGGAAGAAGCAGTCCTGTGATGAATGCTTCTTTGCGAAGACAGCCTGCGATAGGGCATCACCGTGCTCTCGTTGCCAATCCCTTGGGAGACAATGTACATTTGGGGCCCAGACCCCTTCAACGGAGAACACTTACTCAATGTCTCCATCGCCCTCGCCATCCCCCTCACAGACTCCGCAAAGGAGAAACGACCCATTTTTCTTCCTAGCACACTTCACTGATCCCTCTGTTAAGCAAGACAAACTTGCAATTGCAGAAACAGCCAAATCTTCTACTAGAAGGCATCTAGATCCGACATACTTCCAACAGGAAGAACCACTCTTGTCACACGACTCCTTGTCGGCTTACATGCCAGGCTTTTCAGGTGTTGATCTGTTCCTTCAGCCTTTCTCTACCCCAACTGGGCATCTTTCTATGGAGTTCATACCTGAAAGTGCATTGTCTTCAACGATTTCCCACAGGCTCGGCGAGATGATGATGATTCTGGTCGAGACTTCGAATTCTATGGGCCAGGGCCAACAAACCCAGCTCGAAATGGCGGAACTAAACTCGCTATTCACGACCGCCAATCTTTCGGTGTTTATCTCGGCTTACTTCCAGTCGCTTCATTGGCATCTTCCAATTGTACATTTTCCGACATTCGATCCTGCAATGATCTCGAACCCTCTTCTCCTTGCAATATTCTTGGCTGGAGCAACATATGCTACCTCGCAAGATGGCCCAGTGTTTGCAAGTAGAGTACTGGACGTAGCTGAGGAGTACATCTTCCGTCAGTTGGCTAATCTATCATCGAACCCTCACCCTACCAGCGCCCCCTATCTCCTACCTTCATTGGAAGTTATTCAGGGAGCTTTGATCATCGAGATGCTTCAGTTTGGGCAGGGCGAAACAGGTACAAGACGACGCATTCGCATAATTAGACATCCATGTGTCATTTCCACGATACGATCGTTGGGGATTCTTCATTTCAAGCGAAGTATGACACCCGATATGTGTAACGATGAGACATGGAGAGCAATGATAGCCGAGGAAGTTTGTATAAGGTAAGGCCCTACCTGTTGAGCATCAATATTGGGCACTTCTCACCAATCTTCAGAATCGCCTGTTGGGCCTTTCTCGCGGATGGATTCCTCACCGTTTGTTTCAACAATCACCCTGCATTGTCGATATTCGAAATGGACTGTCAATTCCCTTGGAGTTCCGCTTTATTTGAAGCTGAAAATGCATCATCTTTCCACGAGATCGCCGCTTCTTATACGGCGGGGCGCCCGCTACCTTCGTTAAGGGAGTTCATTACACGCCTGCTTGATGAGAATGCAACGGATGACCTGATTCAATGGAGTCGCTCACTAGTTGGCGAACATCTGTTGATTCTGATCTATGGTTTGTGTGACCGTCCATAATTGCATGCAAATATATCGAGCTAATTATGCCCCTAGCAATGCACTCTCTCGCGTTCCAGGCCAGAACCGGCTTGTTCGGGTGGATATCCACGAACTCGATCAAACGGGCCGCCGATAATTGGCGAAGCATTTGGGACTCGGTCTCCAGCATTGTGGGCAAAGAAGGGATGCACCACTTAGGGTATCCTAAGCATGCTGAAGAGCTCTGGTGGCTATTGACTGCTACGCTTGATCGCGCCGGTGGGCGGAACGTGAACTTTCGATACCTGGACAACGCCGCAACCGATGACCTAGAAAGCTTGAATAACTTCATCCGGAACATCAAAGGTCCCAATAGGACATAGTTTATATGTCTTGTCTAACAATATGTACAGGCGAGGGGCTTCTCTATCCCTTATTAACATTAATATTACAAGGTTAGGCTCAATGACCGGCTTTCCCGACCGGCGGTATGGTCTCTAGTCATCGGAGCAGTGCTGCGCCCCTGTAGGCGAGCGATCTTATGCGCGTGCATCCTACTGACTCTTAACGATCTTGAACTCGTCGCCGCGGGCTTTCCGATAGGTTCCTCCAACACGATCCCAGAACGTTGTGAACTGCCCATAGTTATAATTGAAGTACAGGTGGTGCAGGGTGTGGCATTCGGGGCCATTGATGATAGCAGAATGAGAAAGGCAGTCGGCGTCGTCTGGATGCGATTAGCGGGAGACACAAAACCGAAGGAATGCACTTACGGATCAAAACCGTCCACAGTGTGACGAATACAAACAAGCCCATATATGCACCCTTCTGCAATGGGAACAGTATCGGATAGACGTGGTACGGGAGACTCTGCGCCCACCCGTCCAATGGGTTGAACGCGAAACTCGCATAAGGTGTCGGCACGAGCCACTTGTGATGTCTCTTGTGCAACCACCGATATACCAATGGGTGATGCTCCGCTCTATGAATCCAATAAATGCCGGAGTCTGTGAATGCCACGAACAGGGGGTACTGGAGCCAGTTGTATGCAGGGAACGGAGCTTCACTGGCGAAATCGTACAGCTTAGACCAGCCACGAATCTCTGCTAAGAAGAACGGGACCGTGAGGATAGCCATTATCGGGATGGAGAACAGGGCTTGCTCGATTTCCAGACGGACTTGATTCTTCAGGAACCGTGGATGTTTAAGCAAAGTCTTGTCCCACCATGTGTGATAAAAGATGGTGCTGCCGATGAAGTATATGGCTAGACCGAAGAGCCTAGTTGTGTAACGAATTTGCTGTAAGGTGGACCATGCTCGATTGACTTGAGGGAAGATTATGGACAATCTTACCATGTGATGAACAACAATGAGGTAGCTTGTCTCGGCAGGTCATCGCGCTTCCAGCGACTGGCGGTCGCCCATTGAGAGGGTTGAAGAGGGTAGTAACGGCCAACATGTTGGTTCAGAAAGAACAAAGTATCGAAGTCCGAGGTACTATTCCCACCAGGCAGGACTGACGCGTACACTCTATCGAGGACGAATGTGTCGAGGACATCGAGCACGACATCCATCGGAGCGAAGGTGTCTAGTATAAATCGGGGATACCGTCAGGGCTGTTTAGGGTATTCTGGTTGCGCCCGGAAAATGCGACTGCTGCTTAGGACGAAGGAAAAGAAAATTTGCGATCGATTGTTCATACAACTCCGTACTAGAATTGACACGCAGAAGCTACTACTATGTTGATTGTCACCCCCGTCATCTTATATACGCGGCGAATCCCTACCACGGGATATACCTACCACGGAGTAAACCTACACGGGGGCGATTCCCTACTAACAAAATACACTGGCGACACGGGCTATCCCTACCAACACCGACATGATCCCACCACGGGAGTGGGAGATCCATTTCCCCCGGCGAGACCGATTCCGGGGGCACGTGGAAATTGGTCCATCTTAGGACACAAAATATATCATACGACTACCAGATCAGCCACTATTGCTTAGTTCATAGTCTTATTGACTGAAGATTAGTAAACTGCGACGGATGGAATAAATTAATGCCAATGCAGAAGCATCGGATAAATTAACCGAGTTGGGGTTGGTTCCGACGGCCGGGCAGCCGCACAGCGAGACAATCGAAAAATCCCACCAAAAGCAAGTCGGGCCAGCCAAACCTCGAGTCCATCCATTCCGTTGCTCTCATTCTATCCCCTCGTTCTGCTTCCCTCCTTCTCCTCCTCCACCCACCCACGCCTTCCCCTCTTCTTCCCCCGACTCATCCAATCTCCTTAACTCCGTCAAGATGGGTGTCACCTTCGACAAGTGCGAGACCCGCCCGGCCAACATTGACGCCATCCTCAATGGCCTCGACCGCTACAACCCCGAGACCACCACTGTCTTCCAGGACTATGTCGCCCAGCAGTGCGAGGACCGCACCTTCGACTGCTACGCCAACCTGGCCTTGCTGAAGCTGTGAGTTCATGCGCCTTTCTATCCAACCCAATATACATTCAGCCGAAACAAAAAGAGCTCCGACGCGGGGAACCTATCTGGTTTTATGTGATGAAGAATCTTATATCATTATCACGTTTCCTATTACCTGACACCCTACTTTGGGGGATGTCGAGACTCAAATCTCCTGAAACAAAACCACCCATTCGACCTTTACTCTATCGCATATACATTATACCCAGAGAGAGATGCTGACCCCTTCACGCCCTCTGGCAGGTACCAGTTCAACCCCCACCTTCTCCAGGCCGAGACCGTCACCAACGTCCTCGTCAAGGCCCTGACTGTCTTCCCCTCTCCCGCCTTCTCCCTCTGCCTTGCTCTCCTCCCCGCCCACACTCAGCCCTTCCAGGCCTCCGACGCTGAGGCCCAGGCCGCGGCCCAGACCTCCGACTTCGTCGAGTCGATCCAAAAGCTCGCCCGTCTCTCCACCCTCCTCGAGTCTGCTCAGTACACCCAGTTCTGGTCCACCTTGAACTCGGACGACCTGTACGCCGACCTTGTTGCCGACGTTGCCGGCTTCGAGGAGCTCGTGCGCATCCGCATTGCCGTCGAGGTCGGCAAGACCTTCCGTGAGATCCCTGCCGAGGTTCTGGAGCAGTGGCTCGACCTGCGCAGCCGCGAGGCTCTCGAGAAGTTCGTTGCCGAGGTCTGCAGCTGGGAGGTTGACAAGTCTGGCGCCAACACCGTGATCAAGGTGCCCACCAACAAGGAGAACGAGGCCCGCAGCGAGGTCAAGAGCGAGCGTGTCGGTGTTGACATGTTCGGCCGTGTCATCCGCCGGGGTTTCGAGCAGGCTGCATGAGCGGATCTCAACGATAAATAGATATCCGCATTGCAACGCAGCCTTTCTCGTTCTAGATTCCCTTTCTATTCTTGCTAATATTTTGCCTTGAACGAAGATCAGACCTTCCCTCAGGTCTCGATCTCGGTCTGTCTTGTTTGGAAGAATGACCACCCAAAAAGAAAAGTTTCAAAAGAAGAACACGGGACGAAGTGTCTGCTTCGGATACCCCCCATGACACGAGCTCGGAGCCTCTTATAACACAACCAAAAAGATGATGATGACGGGGATAGACCAGCATGGGAGAGGGTTGGGAAGTCCGGACCTGGCGCAATTGGCGTTTCGAGTTTTGCTTCTGCATGACTAGGTTGTGTTTTATCATCATCATCATCTTTTTTCTCTTTCCTCTTCCATCTTACCTCCTATATCATTTTTTCTCCTCCTTGATTATCCTCTCACCATATTTCTCTCTACGTGAAAAGATTACGCAATTTCACCGAAGATATCCATATTGTGCGTATGCACAAAAAGCGATCAGTACCAGTACAGTACAATCTTCCTACATTCATGACCAGCGATGCAACAGACAACCAGTAGTAGTAGTAGCAGTAGTAGTAGTATTGTATGTACTTTTGATTTCCAAACCAAACCTAACCTAAACAAGAAGAACACAAGTCTATATATGATATATATGTCATCAACATCAAATCTTGAACGGACATTACGCTTCACAGATCAAATCCGTAACCCGCCAATCTATTTCGCCTGTTCCTCCCACTGCACACCAGCCCACTCCTCTCTATAACCCACAACACCGACCTCCTTCGGTCCACAATCCTTCCCACAAACTCCCAAGATGATAGTTCCCCACTCCATACCAGCATCATCCTTGGGTCCAAGCCCCACCCCCTCCCTACCCTCCTCCAACACACTGATAACATGAGGCACAAGCTGCAACTCAAACACGCGCTCACTACCACAATACTCACAGCGAGGCATGCGACTCCCTCCACCAACCGTAGTAACCTTGGCATTGGGGTTTGTCTTCGACGGATCGTGGAGCCGCTTGCCCACCGCATCCACATGGGAATACAGCAATGGCGTACCGCGGAACTCGTAGCGGAGGACTTGTTCGGGGTTATGGCCGAGACGGGTAGAGAAGCGGATGAACGCCTTGTCGAGCTCGGATTCAAATGTATCTTTGAGCTCCGCGGCGCCGCCGTTGGGACCTTCTTCTTCTGTGTTATCGATTGTCACGTTGGCGGGGATAGTGGGTGTGGAGGGGCGGGACATGGCCTCGTATTCGGCATCGAGGTAGAAGTTTGTGTAGGGGGCAGGGAAGTCGGATTGGGCGGGCCAGGGGGTGTTGGGGGTGGTGGAGGCTTCGGGAGGTGGGATGAGGTTGGTTTTGGGTTGTTGTTGTTGAGGAGAGGAGATGCGGACTTTGTCGGCGAAGGATTCGGAGAGAGTAGGTGCTGGAGAGGGGGTGGGTTTGGCGACGAGGCCGGGGGAGGGCGCTGGGGCTGCGAATGGGTTGTTGTTGGTGCTGGTGGAAGAAGCGCCGGCGGAGAAGGGGTTTGCGCTGGCGGAGACGCTGCCGGTGAGAGTGGAGGAACCGAATAAGCTGGCTCCTAGGTCTGGCTTCGGGGCGGCGGGCTTCTTCTCTTCTTCTTCTTCTTTCTCTTTGTTCGAGGGTTCAGGCTTTTGTTCTTCCTTTTGGCGGGGAGGCTGGTGTTGGGGCTCGATCTTCAGCTTTCTGACGGCGCGCAGGGCCCGGATACTGCCTGGTTTGCGGTTGCAGGCTTTGCGAGGGCAGGAGAAAATGTAGAGACGGCGTTCATCGTCGGGGAAGTCGTTTGGGAGGTCACCGTGCAGCTCGAGGAGGAGGAGCATGGGCTGGTTGCAGACTTTGCATTTGGCGAAGTCGCCGGGAGGCGGGGTAGCGTCGTCGAGCCAGGTCTATGAGGGGTACATTGTTAGTCGGACAGAGAAAAAAGGGGATGAAGAGTTGAATTGAACATTGTACATACCGGCCAGCCTCCCAGGTGACTGATGGTGTCTTCTACAATCTCGTCGGCTGCGTAGCCCAGCAGCACGTTGGTCTCGCTGAAGTCCCCCTCATCGTCGAAGGAGGAGTCGCTGTCGTAAGGGTCCATGGTGCTGTGGCTGGTGTGGTCAAGGGTAGATAATGTATAATAGTCAATTCGAGAATCAGTGGGCAAGACCGAGAACAGTGAAATCCTTGTCCTGACGCAGAAGAGGTTGCGATGGAGTTTATCACCAGAAGAGCGCGTCTTTCTTTTCTGCCCGAAATTCTGGCGCAAAAAAAGAGTGAATGGCCCAAACGGGAAAAGCCCCATCGGCGATAGCCCCAGAATGCACTAGTCCTGATATGGGCTAGCGTAGTAACTGTGGTATCGATACATACCCGTGTGATACGTCAGTCAATACATCTCCAGCATCTCGCCATCGACCTTCACTTCCTCTTCATTTCATATCCATCTTCTATCCATCTTCACTTTTCCCTTTCTCGGATAATTATAGATCTGCTTCGTGTGGGTATTCATTATAAAAGAGGTTATAGAGCAAGCTCTCTTGCACGCGAGCCTCTGAGCATGAGCACCGTTGCTTCTTCAAGCTCCTGCATCTAACGATCGTAACGTCCACTAGTGTGGAAGCATTGCTTCACTAAATAAGCAATTCATCAATTTGAGCAATCATGCATCGCTCATCTCTTTCATATTTCCTTCAAATTATTCTTCACATTCATGTAGTATACTACGTCTTAGCTCTATGCCTTCCCCCACATGCGAATGCCACCGAACAGCAACCCCTGGGCTCATTTGGAGTCACACCACCCAAGAGGGTCGCCGTGATCGGTGAGATCATTCCCATAGTCCCCTCATGTGCCATTGACAACAATTAACATTTTCAATAGGAGCGGGTGCTGCGGGGTCTAGCACGGCTTATTCACTACGCAAGTATGCGGATGCCTTGCACATTCCCCTCAATATAACGGTTTTCGAACGCTCTCCCTATGTTGGCGGCCGTTCCACAACAGTGAATGTCCATGACAACCCAGCTACACCCGTAGAGCTCGGTGCTTCGATCTTCGTGGAGGCCAACCATCACCTTGTCAACGCATCCAAAGAGCTGGGACTTCACGTTAACAGCGCCAATTATGACCGACCCAGAGAGACCGAAGACACCCTAGGCGTCTGGGACGGGGAGCAGTTCGTCTTTGTGATGAAGGAAGCATCTTCCTGGTGGAACATTGCGAAGCTGGTCTGGAGGTACGGATGGACTCCCGTGAGGACCTATCGCTTAATGAAGTCGACAGTCAACAACTTCCTCAAACTCTACGACGAGCCCATATTCCCCTTTTCATCCCTTACATCCGCTTCGGAAGCAGTAGGGCTGGTAAATATAACTGCCGTTCCTGGAGAAGCCTTCCTCCAGCAGAACCAGGTGTCCGCCAAGTTCTCCCGCGAAGTTATCCAAGCTAGCACCCGTGTCAACTACGGACAGAACCTTGCTCTGATTCATGGCCTCGAGACCATGGTCTGCATGGCAACTGAGGGTGCCATGGCCGTGGAGGGAGGCAACTGGCTGATCTTCGACGGAATGCTCAAACTGTCCCACGCCGACGTCCGCTTAAACCACACAGTGACAGCCCTCGATTGGGATGCCAACGGGCCCTCAACCCTAACAGTCAACACAAACACCAACTCAGAAGAAAAGCTTGAGTTCGACGAGATCGTCATCGCTGGTCCATGGCAATTCTCCAACATCACCGTTACCCCACCACTAAAGAAGACGCCGGACGAGATCCCCTTCGTAACACTCTACGTCACTCTCTTCGCCTCCCCGCACCGTCTCTCACCTAAATACTTCGGCCTCACAGAACCCAACGCCTACACCCCCGAGACAATCCTCACAACCCTCCCTCCGGACAGTGACATCGGAAAAAGCGAAGCCGGAGTCGGCCCAGCTGGCTTCTGGAGCATCAGCACTCTCCGGACCGTGGACGCCCCAGACCCATCAGAAGGGAAACACTACGTCTACAAGATCTTCTCCCCGGAACGTCCAACAGCTGAATTTATTGAATCGATTCTCGGCCTGGAGCACAAGTCATCTTCTAACACCGACACTGAAACTGACACTTCCATCGGCGATCTCTCCAAGCAAGATATCAGCTGGTTCCATGAGAAGATCTGGCGGCCGTATCCGTTCGAATATCCACGGGTTACGTTCGAAGATCCTCTCCTTGCCCCTCATATCTGGTATACGGGCGGAATTGAAAGCTTCATCTCTACGATGGAGACAAGTGCATTGATGGGGAGGAATGTGGCTGCTTTGATGTTTCGTGAGTGGCAGGCCCAGGCTGAAGAGACGGAGGGGGATTCAGCAGCAGATTCGGTACGTCATGAGCTATAAAGTGAACGAATGGTAAGGAATGGGAAGGGGAATGGGAGACTGGTATGGCCTTTTCTTATTGAGTCGTCTGTTCTCGTACCGAGCTGTCGGTGCAGGTACGGATGGCATGACAATACTTATGGCACTTATGACCATATAATATAAATGTCTAGAGTATATATTAGTATTAACTAATACATTGAGATTGCAATCCCACAATGTTTACACAGAACTTTACAAAATACGAATTCAGTGGACTAATTTGTCTCATGGAACTTATTATCTTTCTATTTCAGTTCATAATACCTATTTACTAGGTAAGAAGTAATACTCAACCAGGCGAACCAAGCCTCCATGCAACCACGAACTTTTCCTGCCCTGTTGAAGAAGTGTTGAAGAAGCCATCCCGGTGCTATTTGTTCATTCACATGCTCAATGCATATCCATATCCCATGACCCGCGTAAGGTTGAAAAAGCAGACCTGTATAAAACCCCTTAGAACGCACAGCCCACAATCCGTTTTTGCTCGCAATGATGTTGAACTCGTAACCTAACAAGATAAAAAACAAAGAAAATCAAAGAAGAATAAAAGAAGATAGAATGTTATGGTATCATATCAAAAGTTCACCCGGCTATAACTAGCTTAGACGGGGAGGGGGAAGGTGCTGGCCCACTCAGCGACCTCCTTGCGGAGGCTGAGGATCTCAGGGACAGTCTCGGAGGCAACCTTGGCCTTGAAGTCCTTGAGCTTGTTGGCCTCCTTGGGGAGCTCGCTCTGAACCTTCTTGCAGAGGTTGATGGACTGGTCAATGTAGCGGGCAATGCGCTTGAAGTCCTCCTCACCCATACCACGGGTGGTCATGGCGGGGGCACCGATACGGATACCGCAGGGGGTCAGAGCAGACTTGTCACCAGGGATGGAGTTCTTGTTGCAAGCAATGTTGATCTGCTCGAGGACAGCCTCGACACGAGCACCGTCCAGGCTCTTGTTGCGGAGGTCGACAAGGACCATGTGGCTGTCAGTGCCGTCAGAGACAAGCTTGTGGCCGAGGGTCTTGAACTCCTCCTCGAGAGCCTTGGCGTTCTTGATGACCTGCTCCTGGTACTGCTTGAACTCGGGAGAAGCAGCCTGCTTAAGGGCAACAGCCAGAGCAGTGATGGTGTGGTTGTGGGGACCACCCTGGTGACCAGGGAAGACGGAGAAGTTGATGGGGCCCTCAAGGTCATACATGATGTCCTTGCCGGTCTTGGGGTCAGTGCTGCGGACACCCTTGCGGAAGAAGATCATGGCACCACGGGGACCACGGAGGGACTTGTGGGTGGTGGTGGTGACAACATCGGCGTACTCGAAGGGAGAGGGGATGACACCGGCGGCAATCAGACCGGAGATGTGAGCCATGTCGACAATGAGGTAGGCGCCGACCTTGTCAGCGATCTTGCGCATACGAGCGTAGTCGATCAGGCGGCAGTAGGCGGAGGTACCAGCAACCAAGCACTTGGGGCGGTAGAGCTCGGCGTTGGCCTCGAGCTGATCGTAGTCAATGATACCGGTCTCAAGGTTGACACGGTAGGGGAAGGTCTCGAAGTAGGTAGAGACAGCAGAGATCCTGCGGAGATGTATGGTTAGCATCCAATGTTCATGTGTCATGTTGTCGGGAGGCAAATCCGCAAACTTACTTCTTGGCGGGAGTCTGGTAACCGTGACTCAAGTGACCACCGTGGGGGAGGTCAAGACCCATGAGACGGTCGTGAGGGCGCATGAGAGCCTGGTAGACCTGCAGGTTGGCAGGGCTACCACTGAGGCACTGAACGTTGACGCCCCACTTGGCGGGGTCGAGGTTGAAAGCCTTGAGGGCACGAGCTTGGCAGGTAAGCTCGATGGCATCGATGTGCTGGTTGCCACCGTAGTAGCGAGCGCCGGGGTAACCCTCGGAGTACTTGTTGCTCATGGGGGAACCCAGGGCATCGAAGACAGCGTGGGAGGTGAAGTTCTCCGAGGCGATCAGGACGATGGATTCGCGCTGACGTTGGATTTCCTTCTCCTGTAATCGGGCAGTTAGTACCATGACACCATATCTTCTTCAAGAGATAACAGTATAAAACGTACCATGATCTGGGCGATCTCAGGATCGCTGTCCACGAGGGACACCTCCATTTGCTACATCGATGAGTCAGTTGAGTGCTGCTGCGAGGACACCCCAGACGAAAAAAAGTGCAGTGGGGTACTTACGTTCCGGTGAGCCGGAGAGAGAGCGTAGGTAGCCATTGTGTAGAGAGATGTGTGAGGGAAAGGGGGTTAGAGGAGGAAAGAGGGAAAATTGAGATGAAAGTTGGAGGATGAAGAAAAGGAAGAAGAAGAGGGAAGAAGGGGAGGATTAAGAGGGAAGAAGAGGAAAAGCTAGGGATGGGGTGGGGGAGGGAAAAAAAGATTGCCTCAGGACCCAAGAAAGACGGAACGTGAGTCTTACACCCCGCCGCCTGTGCTCTAAACCCGAGCTAAGCCCCATCGGGCCCCGGGGGGACGACATCGGAGCCCGGCCACGCCTTCACCGGCTCGGGGAAATTATTGGGCGCTTACGGAGTACTCGTCTCCATTACTCAATGACTACAGTAGAGTATATCTCGTCTTGACCCAGCAGCACCAGACCACCATATGCAAGAAACAATTAATTTTAGTGATATATCAGGTGTCATGGCTGACTAGAATACAGTATGACAAGATTCAATCTAGTAAATTTTCCCTCAATCTCGGAATCCCGACCGGGATGCCACTAAGTGGCTGAAGGCGACAGAGAGGCAGGAAAAAGTCAATCCACTAGCCTACCAGCTCAGCTCCGATTGGTGCCGCTGGTCGATCAGCATCGGGTCAACTGAAGCTACCATCCCCAATGAAACACGAGGGACCTCGATCTACATCTGGAGGGCTGATGAGTTGTCAAATTTTTCAAAGAGAAGAAATAAATAATATGAAGTGCACCTCAATTCTGTTGAGGTTATGTTACGTATGAGAGACGCAAGTGTTGCAGTCATTCTGCGAAAAGAGCTTCATCTATCCTGAACTGGTAATTCTGCTATAGTAATGAGTCATAGCATATATCCACTCCACTATTATTTCGCAGCTTCTACTTTTAGATCGCCATCCGTATCACAGTGCAGCCGTTACAAATCCTGCTCCACCATAGATCTTCCAATTTCCATGGCAAGCGTTGCCTCTCGGGATGCTCGCACCTTGTGATGGGGACCGTGGTGGCGCTGGAGGGGTCAAAGCAGCTTGCGAACAGTCCCCCACCTGAGAGACACCATCAGAGAAGTTGCTGGACAACTGGGAGGTTTTGCAAACATTAAGACCTGTTCCTTTCTTCATGATCACATGGCAATATGGACAAGCCATAGCTCATAATCTCGATAGCACGAATAATGGAAAGACAGCAGAACCCCCCAAAAAGCTTTCCCCATAAGAGCATCTGTGTGTCCCTGCACAATACAACCACTCGTGCGATACCAGGAGCCGCATACACCGACCAACCTATGGCTTCTCCAACTTATGCTTTATCCGGAGTTTGAGTGATGATGAGTTGGGCGAAGCTAGTGACCTGCTCAACTGGATCTTCCGGTGTGCTCTTCCCTAAGCCCTTAACCCGGCAGAGTTGCAGTGTATGATTCCATCACAAGCTCGATATAGGTTGCTCTTCACCCTCGGGGTTGCGGAGGGATCTCAGGAGATTCTTCTCAGATCCTTCTCGTGGGCTTGACGCGATCAACGTGCGATCGAGGATAGTTGGCATTGACACTTTTACACATACTGTCATATCATCTTCCGCGCACACCCTCAAGGTCCCTGAGACTTGAGCTTCTTAGCACCCCCTGGGCTTGCCATCTGGCCAAAGTCGGCGATGACCGACTTCAGCTTTGCAATGCGGTCCTCCAGCTCCTCAATCTCCTCTTCCTGGTCGGTAACCGACCGATCTACGTCGGGTAGGTTTTCCACCACAGCTTGTGCCTTCTGAATCCGAATTTTGATCGAGCTGACCTCTGTCGGAAGGTCCTTGATATCGAGCGCTGGAGATGTACCTGAGCCCAATCCGGATATTTCAGCACCACCTGGACCAGCTGAAGGTACTGCCCCCAGGACTCCAGCAGTGTTGGCGTTTTCGGCCCCCGCTTGTTGTTGCGATTGAGGTTGGCCGGGAGTGCCTGAATGTGGTCCGGTAGGAGCACCAGCTCCAGTAGGGTCATCGGCCGCTCTCACGCCATTGGATACGCCAGCAGCGTTCGTTGGCGGCGATAGAAGACGTGAAAGGAGGCCATGCAACGGCGGAACAATGTCGAATGTCTGTGGAGAAGGGAAAGGGACGGCTTGGGGGGTTGCGGGGGCATCTTTGACCATCGGGGTCTCGGGCGCGACGGATGATTTTGGTAGGGGAGTCACCGCCGTGGGGGATCGGGACGCCATCGCGGGAAGGGCAATACCGCGGACCAGACACACGACGAAAAAAAAGAAGAAGAAGAGACAAAAAGTCGAAGTATCAGAGCAGACGGCTCACGTGGGGAAAGGGAATAGCCTCGTTTCGCGGGGGAAGCTGGGTAATTGTTTAGGGAAGAGCCGGGGAAGCCGGACGAGAACGGGAGGGAGAGGAAAGTCGGAGAAAAAGAGACTAAAGAAGGGAGTGGAAGTGGAAGGTGACGTCGGGGCGGAGCGAAAACAAAACAAGTCCCAAAGCGTCACCGAAAGCCAAAGTGTGGTGCCCCTCCCCCTCCTCTCTATTACTATTACTGTTACTACGCTGGTCTTGCGATTGTTCTTCACCGGCCAGCCTTTTCGTGACTCCACCTATCAATTCTCCTTCTCCTTCTTCTATCCTTCTTCTCTCCTATCTTTCTTCTTCTTCCTTCTTTCACTTCTTCTTTTTCCACCCATTTTCTTGCTCTTGAATCTCTTCCCCACTTTTGGTGAGTGCTTCCCGAGCCCATCCCGCTCTCTCCCCGGACTTCATTTTGCGCTGGAAATGTAAATTGCTTTGGCTAACATATGCACTCCAACAAGTTAGAGCACAGAGTATATAGCAAAAATGGCCAAGGTTGATCAAAAGGTCGCCCTCAGTAAGTTGAAGAAGCCGAATACTTTCTGTCGCCCATCAATCCACTGATACTCTGCTGTCTAGTCGTCATCGATGGCTGGGGTGTCGCCGGTCCCAACTCCCCCAAGGACGGCGATGCTATCGCTGCCGCTGAGACTCCCTTCATGTCCGGCTTCGCTGAGGCCGACTCGAAGACTGCTCAGGGTTACACCGAACTCGATGCTTCCTCCCTCGCTGTCGGTCTGCCGGAGGGTCTCATGGGCAACAGTGAGGTCGGTCACTTGAACATTGGTGCTGGCCGTGTCGTTTGGCAGGACAGTGTCCGCATTGACCAGACCCTCAAGAAGGGTGAGCTGGGCAAGGTGGACAACATCGTCGCTTCCTTCAAGCGCGCCAAGGAGGGTAACGGCCGTCTGCACCTGTTGGGTCTGGTTTCGGATGGTGGTGTCCACTCCAACATCACCCACCTGGTCGGTCTGCTGAAGGTCGCCAAGGAGATGGAGATTCCTCAGGTCTTCATCCACTTCTTCGGCGACGGCCGTGACACCGAGCCCAAGAGCGCTACCAAGTACATGCAGCAACTGCTCGACCAGGCCAAGGAGATCGGTGTTGGTGAGATCGCTACCGTTGTCGGACGTTACTGGGCTATGGACCGCGACAAGCGCTGGGACCGGGTCGAGATCGCCATGAAGGGTATCGTCTCGGGCGAGGGTGAGGAGAGCTCTGACCCCATCAAGACCATCAATGAGCGCTATGAGAACAAGGAGACCGATGAGTTCCTGAAGCCCATCATTGTTGGCGGCAAGGACAGACGTGTGCAGGGTATGTTTTGTTCCCTTTGCTTAATGATGAAGATGCTCACCAGCGATAATAGATGGCGACACTCTCTTCTTCTTCAACTACCGTTCCGACCGTGTTCGTGAGATCACTCAGCTGCTGGGTGACTACGACCGCTCTCCCAAGCCCGAGTTCCCTTACCCCAAGGACATCCACATCACCACCATGACCCGGTACAAGACCGACTACACCTTCCCTGTTGCCTTCCCTCCCCAGCACATGGGTAACGTGTTGGCCGAGTGGCTGGGCAAGAAGGAGGTTAAGCAGTGCCACGTTGCCGAGACTGAGAAGTACGCTCACGTTACTTTCTTCTTCAACGGTGGTGTTGAGAAGCAGTTCCCCGGCGAGGTCCGCGACATGATCCCGTCTCCCAAGGTTGCCACCTATGACCTCGAGCCTAAGATGAGCGCTGCCGCCGTGGGTGACAAGATGGCCGAGCGCCTTGGCGAGGGCAACTTCGAGTTTGTCATGAACAACTTTGCTCCCCCCGACATGGTTGGTCACACTGGTGTCTACGAGGCTGCCATCCAGGGTGTTGCTGCCACCGACAAGGCCATCGGTGTCATCTACGAGGCCTGCAAGAAGCACGGCTACATCCTGTTCATCACCGCCGACCATGGGTAAGTTTTCGCCTCCGATACGTTTGCGCAAGAACTTCTCACTGACCTTGGTTTCTTTCGCAATAGAAACGCTGAGGAGATGCTTACCGAGAAGGGCACCCCCAAGACCTCCCACACCACCAACAAGGTTCCCTTCGTCATGGCCAACGCCCCCGAGGGCTGGAGCCTCAAGAAGGAGGAGGGTGTTCTGGGAGATGTTGCTCCCACCGTCCTGGCCGCCATGGGCATCGAGCAGCCCGAGGAGATGTCCGGCCGCAGCCTTTTGGTCAAGGCATAAATTTAGCGTATAGAGTAGATGTCATGTATTGTCTGGATACGATTCCATTGTGATGAAGAAATGAATTATTACGGTGTCTATACTGGGGTTTAGCTTTGGAGCGAGATAGAACAAGATTTGTTTATTTTCAGTTTCTCCCATCCTCTTATACAAGCGTACTTCCGGTTGTACCTTGAGGGGTACATCGTATCTCGATCAGCCACAGCACCCATACAGGGTAGGTATCACACTTCGGTCGACGGACAGCCCGATCGACTACGTATCCGTATAGTCTTCTGAGAATATTCGCAACGATCATTAACAAGGGTATCTAGAACCTCTCAACCTCGTAGTGCTGGGCCAAGATTGGCCACCGCACAAAGTAGCTCTGCGCTGCCGTCGGTGCTTGTTCGTCTTCTTCTTCTCGCACGACCCCCAAGGCGACGTGCATCATCGCCTTCGAGGACCGGTCGGGTACCTTGGCTGCTCTTTCACATCCGCCATCACCAGCAATTATAGATCTCCTCGCGTGATAAAGGTAGCCACTGTCTTCCACCTATCGTACTGATAACAACGATCCGTCTATAATCAAGCAGAAGCCGCTGCCGCCGCTTGTTGCATCTGAGTCTGGAACTGAACGATCTGCATCACGATAGTCAGACCGATTGCCGAAAGCATGCCTGTAATTATAATAATCAGGAGACTCACCTCAGTGCGCTTCTTATCAGACTTGTCCTGGTTCTCCTGGATCTGTCCCTCAATGCGCTTGCTATATTAAATACATCACGTCAGTCACAGCTCCCACCCAATGAGGAAGTGGGGAGAGGGGTAACGATAACTGAAACGTACATTTCCTTCTCAATGAACTCAAGACGTCCATTTACGGCCATCAAGGCCTCACTCTTCTCCTGCTTCAGCAAGACCGGTCCGATCAACTTGTAGATGTTCGACTCCTCATCGAGGGAGTTAAATTCCTTCTGAACGCCGACGTTCTCCTGTTGCTGGGATTCGAGCTTCTGACGCGCTTCGACGAGACCGTCGAGCTCTGTTCCAAACAATTGTTAGTATTTGTTCCATGCTCAAAACCAATGGTTGCGCATAGCATAGCACAGCACCAGGCTAGCTGAAATGGATAGATGACGCTTGCATGCCCATGCTCATGCACCCCCTCCCCGAATAGGAAAACAACTCATGGAATACCAACATACCCGTCTGCAACGCCTGAAACTCCTCGGTAAGAGCCTGCATTTGCTTTTGTGCGTCCGCCATGATGCTGTGTGATAAATCCGTATTCAGCCCGTGATCGTGTGTGCCGAAGTGGTGATTGATGGTCGTCGGGGAAATGGGTTATCTATCGGAGGGGCAAAATGGGAAGCGGAGCGGCAGAAAACCAACCAAAGACGGTAAACAAGACCGTCTGCCCGCCTTTTCGGTGTCTCTCTTGTCTCTTGTCTCTCGTGCCATTCCTCCATTCCTAAGTATTTCCTGTTGAATATCGTCCTTTACCATTCTATCCTGATCAAAGACCTTTCGATTATCCCTTGGAAGAGGTGTCGTTTGATACAGATTCACTCCCATACGTCATTGTTTGTTTGGTGCAATCGAGTCCCGTCTCCTTCTTGCGCCCGCAGAGACACAGACTAGTAGTACTAAGTACTAAGTACTCCAGACGGACGGACGAAACCAGGCAGGCTTCCGTCGTCATTTGCTCCCCGCCTTGAACCAATCCAGCCAGCCAGTCCTACTTGCCTCCTGTTCCTGCGATCATTCCGTAACGACACTTCGATTCTTTTCATTTTCCACAACATGAGTAATACCGACTTCCTAGGGAGGGCGATTGACACCGTCAAAAAGGCCATCGAGCACGACAATGAGGGCGAATACGAGAAGGCTTATCAGCTGTACTACTCGGCGCTGGAGCTGTTCATGCTGGCACTGAAATGGGAGAAGAACCCCAAGTCCAAGGAGATGATCCGCGCAAAGGCGGGCGAGTACATGGATCGTGCGGAGAAACTCAAGAATCATCTCGCTACTCTAGATAATCGAAAAAAGCCGAGTGCGGTGGGCGCTAACGGCAAGGTGGCGCAGGGGAGTGGGAAGGGAGGGTATGTACATGTCTGCTGACATCGCCTTGCGATCAGTTCTGGCACAGAGAGCATTGTGTGCTGACACTACTTGTTTGGTGAATTAGAAACCAGGACGAAGATGGCGAGGACGCCGACTCGAAGAAGCTACGATCCGCCCTTGCTGGGGCGATCTTGTCGGATAAACCCAACGTGCAGTGGGAGGATGTTGCCGGTCTGGAGAGCGCAAAGGAGGCATTGAAGGAAGCGGTCATTCTACCTATCAAGTTCCCACACCTCTTCACGGGGAAACGTCAACCTTGGAAGGGTATCCTGCTGTATGGGCCCCCGGGTACGGGAAAGTCCTATCTCGCCAAGGCTGTTGCGACGGAGGCGAACAGCACTTTCTTCAGTGTCAGTAGTAGTGACTTGGTGTCGAAGTGGATGGGTGAGAGTGAAAGGTATGGATATCTTAAGGATCTCATGTTACCACATGTTGGTTCCTAGAGCTAACTTACCCACCTCTACAGACTCGTGAAGCAGCTCTTCAACATGGCTCGAGAAAACAAGCCGGCGATTATCTTCATTGACGAAGTCGACGCTCTCTGCGGTCCTCGTGGAGAAGGTGAATCGGAGGCATCTCGTCGTATTAAGACGGAATTGCTCGTTCAGATGGACGGTGTCGGCAAGGACTCAAAGGGTGTTCTGATCCTTGGCGCAACAAACATTCCCTGGCAATTGGATGCGGCCATTCGTCGTCGATTCCAACGTCGAGTCCACATCAGTCTCCCCGATATCAATGCACGAATGAAGATGTTCATGCTGGCCGTCGGCTCAACGCCCTGCGAACTGACGCAAGCCGACTACCGAACCCTGGCGGAGATGAGCGAGGGCTACTCCGGTAGCGATATCAGTATTGCTGTCCAGGATGCCCTGATGCAACCCATCCGCAAGATCCAAACAGCAACACACTACAAGAAGGTAAGCCTGCCCCCCCTTTCCCCCATCACTCATCCAGACAAAAGAGAAGAGCATACCACTAACCACAGAAATAGGTCATCCTCGACGGCGCCGAGAAGCTAACCCCCTGCTCACCAGGCGACCAAGGCGCAATGGAAATGTCATGGACCACCGTAGAAGCTGACCAACTGCTGGAACCCCCGCTTGTCCTGAAAGACTTCATCAAGGCGGTCCGCAACTCCCGACCAACCGTCAGTCAAGAAGACCTGCAACGAAACTCCGAATGGACCAAAGAATTCGGCAGCGAGGGTGCTTAATCCAACCCTTCATCCTACTATTCACACATCCATCTTCTCTCCATCTAGAAGAAGAGACAGACGAGTCCATCCGTCCTCCCCTCGTTTCGTCTCATCACGACCCAATAGAATCAACCAGGCTCCCACAAAGTCAAGCCTTCGTTCTTATTCGTTTCCTATCATGGTCTCAGGTTTCCTTTCTTCCCCAATTTTGATAATGGCCCGATCGGCATGATTGGCATGCATGCTTGGGTCTCAAGTTGCTCACTTGGAACGAACGAACGAACGAACGAACCTATGAAAGAGAAGAAAAGAAAAATCCACGACCACACAGACACAAACACATACGTTACACCATCGAAATGCTTCCTACGACTTCATCCCCATTTAACTTACTCTTCTTTATCTCACCTATCTTTTTCCTCTCACCTTCCATCTCGGTGTTAGGCAAACTCTGGTTTTTATCATTGTGCAGCAAGGCGAGGCGTTAATTTAAAGTCCACTGTTTTTCTATATTTCTCTTTCTGTTTACTTAACTACATGACGAGAGCTCGGTGTGGAATGAAATGAATGTCGGCTGGAAATCTAGTTCTTACGTTATGTGCGTGTAGACTTAAGTAGCCTTTGTGGTGGTCTTTAGTAATTGTTTTTTCTGAGGGTTATTGACCGACAACACACCCACTACTGGTAGACAATAACCATAGTATCAAAGTTAGGCTCAGACATATCTCATTAACCATTCAATCTAACCATCCAGAACCAACATAACTAAGAATAAGAGTATATGTGTGAGGGATCCAATGTCCCTGGGGTGCAACTACACAAACACAGAGTGGGTAGCTAGTAGGTACAGTAACAACGACAATTCCTTTCACAATCCAACCTAGGAGAGGACAACGCCTTAAGACACATCCATCAAAAACGCCGGGGAATCTTCTCAACAAACTCAAAAGAAAATGCAAAATCATTGAAGAAAATGGGGGGTAGCCCCAGTCAAAGGGAAAGAGGGAAGGAAGAAAGAGTGGAAGGAAGAGAGTGTGTGTGTTGCTCGGCATTAGACGGTTCGAGAGGGCGATCAGGATTTACTGTATGAAGCGTCTCGCCTCTTCAGCACCTCGTTCTTCGCCCGTCTGAGGCCCTCACCAAGCTTCTTCGTCTTCTTCCAGTCCTGGCACATCCTTTGCATTCGGACGACGGCCCTAACCATGGAGACGGCAGTCTTCAACTTGGATTGGGGAGTGCGGGTCTTGTTGCGGTCACGGGATTTGACGCCCATGTCGGAGATCATGCGGAGATCAGCTTCGTTGCTGTTGGAAGGAGGATGTTAGTTAACCATTATAGAGAAAGTGTAGTTGTAGAATTGAGGGAACTAACCAGGCAACCCGAACACGCTCGCCAAGTTCCATTAAGCCCTTACTCCAAGCCAGGTCACGGCGGAACTTCTCCTCACGCTTCAGTCGCGCACGAAGCCAGATAATTTCCTTGCCTAGACCGAGCATCTCCTTCTCATGCCTTGTCTTACTGCTCTCGCTCTTTGTCCCCATCTTCTCCACGAGATGGTCATATCGTTCTTGCAGGGCTTCCAGCTCCTTCAATGCCGATTCAGCCTTTCTAGCACAGAATGAACGCTCATCACGGATCCTGCGCATTTGCGCCTTGAGCTCGGCCATACGGGCCTCTCGCTCTGACACCTTGAGCGCGAGTGATTCAGCCTCCAGAGTCGATGATTTGAGTAGCTCATGAAGATCACGCTGGTCTTCTTCTCTCATTGCGGCTCTTCCAAGATCGCGATTCTTCGATTTGACCTCCCGTAGCGTTCGGTGTGCCTCAGACAGCTGTTTCCGTAGGTTCCGGAGCTCATCATGGAGTTTGTTGGAGGGTGAAGAGGATGGTGAGTGGGATTCGTATTTCTTCATCATCGCATCGTGCAGTTCCTTCTCTAATTCAGCAAGCCGTGCTTTGTAACTTCTGACGGACGACTTCTGGTCGGCTTCGCGCTGCAGCAACGTCTTCTCACGCTTCCGAGCCTCGTCCAGACTATGACGAAGCATTGAGAGATCTCCATTTGCAGTCGAATGTTCGTTCTCAGCATGTGGCTGCTGCTGAAGGAGGTTCTCAAGCTCTTGTATGCGTCTTTCGTAACGTTGCGCCTTACTC